TCAACATAGATAATTTTCATCATAGCACATAGAACCAAAATGGAAAAAAATCATTGAAGAAAAATCGTTTCAGTAAAGTGGAGCCGAAGTCGGTATTCTGAAGTGTCTCCATCGGACATAGCTATAAAAGGTATGCTAAAGAAAGTTTGTTATTTTACTTGGATGAAATGTATAATGTTCTCCAACCAAATTGTTTTTATGTTGTTTTGTTTTGTTTTGCTTTTATGATCTGTATGTTGTACTGGTAAGAAACACCCTCCCCCACCCCCTTCCCCCCTTGCGCTGCGACAATTAATACTTTGTTTTTCTGAGGTTTTTTTCGGTTTTTCTTTTCTTTTTTAGCTGAGGTGATCAAGCCCTCTTCTTACCAGTGCCGCAGAACTGACGAAACGAGCTGCATGTGGGATACGTGCAAAGTTAGCACCAGAAAACGCTGCCAGCATTTGCGAAAAAATGAAAAGGAAAATCGTCCATACTAAACTGATCTTGATTTACCAATTTCATCATTTGTTTAATTAAATCATTTGTTTAATAAAATAACGTCTTTTCTCGAATATTAAATCTAAATATTTCCCTTGAGGCCTGCCTCCTTTCAAAATGCTGCAGCGAGCTTCAAATAAAGCCCCATTTTAAACTGGCTACATTTAGTATAATACATGTACCTATTGACTACCCTTTCATTGAATGTTACCTTTGCAGTCGCACTTAAACAACATTAACAACTTACATATACCAAAACATGATGGGGGAGGAATCTGAAAAAACTTATAATTATTTCGCTTGAACGAGATATAGAAGACAAGCATTTCTCGCCATGAGAAAACTCGCTGAGGCGATACATCGCCAGAACGATATATCGCAATGAATCATTCCTGATTCAGCGATAAATCGCTGGAACGATATTTCACTGAAGCGATATATCTTGATGATGTTCTGCACGCTCTACGATATATCGTTTTAGCGATATATCGCCGGAGGTATGTATCGTTGAAACGATTTATCGTCGGAACGAGATATTGCAGGAGAGCTCCGATATCTCGTCGATTTATCGTTCTTAAGGTGTCAAGAAAATGAACGATATATCGGTGATATATCGGAAGAACAAAGCGCGATAAACAACGATAATCGTTTGCATTACTTTTGCACAGTACTATAAGAATAATGCGTCTCAAGTTTTGGTTTTGGCTCCCCTCTTAATACTAAGGCCTCTCTATGCGGTCGAATTTTCGTGTTATCAAATTCAAAATTGAGGAAGTATAGTAGAATTAGAGACCAGGGAGCATATGGGAAAACCGAATAGGGTATGAGATCCGCCAGCGTTTCTTCTGCAAACCATCTAAAAATGGCCTAAATCGCAAAAGAGAAAACCTCTAAGCCCTTCTTTAATAAAGGGAGTAAGTTTCCCAAATAAACTGTGGTGCTGCGTCAGATTCTCAACACGAATATCTTCTAGGACTTCTTGTCAAAGGAAAGTAAAGTAAATATGTCGAGCTCAGAAAAATAATATTCGCAAGTTTCATGAGGAGATGACTCAGAGTGTTTGTCTAGCGCCTCGGAGGGTAGTTTTGTATCGGCAATAAGGGTTTTGCACCATACGAAGAAAGTGTCGAACCGACAGCAAACGAAGGAGAAGCTGGGCAATACGCGATGTAAGTCGCTGTAGAGGAGGAAGAAGAGGAAGAAGATCTTCTCCGAAGATTCTTTGGTGAAGTCGACGTCAGAGAATGGTTTGTAGCTAGGCTTTTTCTATTGTATAATTTTTTTGTGTTTATTCGGAAACGCGCAATTCTAATCACCTATATGGACCTCATTTACATTTACAGATTTTTTGCGATCTGTGGCCTACAGACAATTTGTACGTATAGTTTGGGCATATGTTGGCATGTCAAACAGATTTCCTCTTCCTTGCTGTGTGTACAGTGTAATGAGATCTGCCTTTCCCATAGCTGAAGATCAGTATCATAGTTATGAGGAAGAAGATGAGGATGAATTATAATGTAGTGAAGTATAAACACTTCATTATTTTCAATGAACGGATGACGTTACTCGTTTCAATCTTCCAAACGGATGATAAAAGTTGTTTTACGGGAAAATTGTGAGGTTCCAACAAACATTGTCATTCAAAGACTAGGTTTCACAATATTTATGTCCTTACTGTTTACTTGATGTTGTCGCGTTTGGAAAAAGTTTACAGAAAGGCTATATGTAAATAGTCATGTATTAAATAGCAAAAATAATTTTTTCACCTGAAAACTGTTGTTTGTTTTCTAATCAAGTGCTCAAATGCAACAATAACGCTCATTAATTTTTCATAACACAGTTGAGTGTAGTTTTATAGTTCCACATTGCATAAAATCAAAGCCATACAATAACCAGGCATGATAGTTGACTTCTGAAACAGGTTCATATCAAGTGATTCAAGTTGTAGCTCTCACTCCTGACAGGAGATAAACAAGAAAGTTTTCATTTCAGGGAAACCTGTTTATTCCCCAGGGCCTGGTTGTTCAAAGATTGGATAACGTTATCCACCCGATAAATCACTATCCAGCATATGTGTGTTTTCCTTTCGCGAGTAGCAGCAGTTGCAGCAGGCTGAACATTGCCTGTAGCCCTGCAGGGAAATTAGGAAAAAAAAAACAGTTTCATGGACTGATCGATCATTTGAATGACTGATTGTTTCATTATTTGATTGATTGATTGATTTATTTGTTTACATTTGTTTACTCAGTCAGTCTTTATTTCTCAAAACATAATATTTTGTCCTTCACAAAATAAGCAAGACGAAAAAGGGCATTTCCCTCTAACCAGAACAGGTTGGAGGACAGATAACTGTTTCTTTCTGCTTTCTGGAATGGAACTTTTCAATGGCCTCTTCCTTGTTTCTTTGCTTTGTAGCATACTGTGCAAAGCTTGAGGGGTCTCCCTGCCCAACTCCTCTTTCACAGCCCCTTAGCTTCCCTCGACGATGAGATTAGTGTTTCGTGGATTTCAGCCACATACTCTGAAAACAAAGTGACTCAGAACAAATATGCTGGTTCATTGTATGCTCAATTTTTTTTTTTTGCTACTATGAAATGTTCCCTTATATTGTCTTATAATACATTACAGTAAGTTCTTTTTTAATATGAATTTCACATCTACCAACCTTTACAAGAACAATGTGAATAATAAGGCCTACTGTACAGGAAATTATGGTGTAAGTGCCATACTTTGCAGAATGGCCCATGCTGTCATGACGGCCATCGCCTGCCAGTGTAACCACAATGTATCCTTCTTAGGGTCTCTAACTATTCTCTTTAGCTTTTTTCCTCTCTTTCTTCAAACTTTTCCCCTCAGGACAGCTGGAATAAGGTGTTGTCTCCCAAATGTTATCCTCCATATCAGGTACCTGATAAGAATTACAATAACCTCGCCAAAGAACTGCGTGCTTGCGAAACGCTGAGAATTTTTAAAATTACAACTTTTAATAGAATCAGATAAGGCACAACACAAATGTAGTGTATAGGTTTTTTATCACTGTAAATATTTTTTTGATAATTTTTAATTTAGTCTTAACTTGTATCGATGGTGAATTGCATTTTTAATAGCATTTTTATGTACTGATCACTGATTTATACCCATGTTTTTTATGATGAATTCGCTGATCGGTTTTTTTCAGTTAAAAAAAAAACATTTATTACAACAGATAGGAGAGATATTAATACCAAAAATGACACGGGTTTGTCTTCTAAGATCTCCATTAAATAGACACCTCTTTGGGAGTATTAGTCTCCGTCAGATCCCCCCGACAGCTCTCATCTATTAAATTTGATGAGATAGGTCCATCTATCTACACACCAGTTACATTCTGCAACAAAAATGTGTTTTATTTCATCAAAGAAAATATTGATCTTGAAAGTATGACGCTGAAGTCATTTAGCCAGTTTGTGAGAAATCTACTTGTAAGGGAAGTATGAATATTATCAAAAGGCAGAGGATGTAAGCTTAAAAGCAGGATATAGATTTTTTTTTTCAATGGAAAAGCTTCGGCTGGCAACAGCTACATTGTAAATAACTTGTTTGGTGTGATTGTCACCATAGGCAAGAAACTCATTGAAGTATCTGATGCAGCTACCCGGGGAATTCAGTTTGCAAACAAAAATGCTTTCTCAGTATTGTTCAATATAAGTTTCATCTATAAACACTAGGAAAACTTACATTGTCACCATCAACACCATCAACAACAAATACGGATGACGTAGGGCCAGCCATCGGTGGAGTGTTACTGCGCAAGAAACTCTTAAGAGACAGATGTATAGTTAACAAACAGTTTGCATGCACTGGTATATAAAATACAAATATTATTTAGTGACATGAATTCAAAATGATCCTCGTTAGATCTGGAGCCTTACTTGGAGCCGGACTGTAATCGTCTTTATCTATGATAATTACAGAAGCATAGTTCAAATGATCTCCCACTTCTTTTTTATCAACAGACTATGTCTTGTTCCCAATAGGGGAAAGTAAGTCATTGATCTCCTAAGTGAGAAAAAAAAATACCGTGAATTTTAAAATGCAACACGAAATGAAGTGTAATAGTGAAGTACACTTGCAAAACACAAAGGTTTTTGAAATGAAGTGTAATGTAGTGCCTACTTACCTTCTTAAGTACTGAGCGGTTTTTTTGAGCCAAATAGTTGTACAAAAACAAGAGAACCCTCTACGTAAAAGTTTTTTGTTTTCAAGCAAACTGTGAATCGTCCCAGAACTCTTGAGCGCTCTATCTTGCATCGGTCACTCTTGAATTGTTCATAGGACTTACGTGCACTAAAATTTTCGAGATCAGCAGCATTGCTTTTAGACGACACACCGCCAGCCAACCGTTTTCTTTAGGATTCCGCCTGAATTGCAAGTTAGTAGGGTTTGCACTTTAGGCGTTAGAGTCATGTGTGTTTTTCGAGTTGAGAACTGACTCATTTCCCTTAAATTCCAAGCCCCTTCCTATGGAACGTGCCTTATTAATGGCGGACAGCAAACGATCAAAAAAGATGTTCCGAAAAAAAGACTTCTCGTGCCCTGATTCAAAAACGGTTTGGACTCGTTGAGCCCAATACGAAGTTTCAAAAACTGCAGTTTTATTGAATTTCGAAAAATTCAACCTCGCGAACCTTGTAGTACATCGGTTCAACCTTATCCACCAATTTTTTTCCCTAAAGATATCGAATTCGTTAGACCTACTGCCTATTTCCTAAATTCTGGCATGCATCACAAAGAAAACTTACTCAGCCTTGCATCATTTTTCACTCGTGGCATTTGAAAAACACAGGCGTGTATTAGCGTTTCAAGCAAAAGCTTACTTTAGAAGACACCTTTTGGGGAGAAGTATTTCAGAGAGGATAACATACATTGATCAAAAATTCCACGTTAAATCTCACGTTTCTACTCGCAGACGTATTTGATATCTAAACTACTCTTCATTGTTTTACTTCCCAGCTATTTGTTAAAAAGACGATGATGATTTCGATCAGTCGGCTACGAAGAACTATCGCCTTGAGCATGCTCCTTTTTAACATCAGTGGAACAACGGGATATCCTTCGGGAATTGAAATTGTAAATGCATCATTCTGTGGTGAGTGTCTCTCTTTTGATTTATTTTTAATCCTCTTTAAAAGATATTCTGCTCTCAAAAGCTGTTCAGGAATACTAGAAATCGAATGGGAAGTGAAAAATGAGAATTCTTCAAAGGAAAAAAAAGAAATGCTAATTTGCTTTCTTACAGCTACCTGGAAAGACTTGTATATTTTGCTGAACTAGAATGAGATTTTAGATGTGAAATTCATGCCATTCATGAGTTGATAAATGAAGAAAGAGGAATTAGGCGCTACGAGGAAGATTCCCTTCTCGATTAATCAACTACTTTGGAGGCCTTTAATGATCTTTCCAATTTCCAATTTTTCTGTTTGTATTCCTCATTTCTGACTTCCGATTCCTGGGTTTGACAATTCGTTCTCCACTCTTAATCGTTTATCCTCGATTCCAAATGATTCCCCCGCCCTCCTTATTTCAATAAACCAGCTGCCGATAAGACCATTCATTTTTTGAAAAAGTCCACATTTTTTTCGAACAAAATGAGAAGAGCCAGGTCATTGTAATGTTCTATACAATTCTGTTTGTTCTTTTTGTGGGCCAGGAAATACGTTATATTAGAAAGACAGGGACTGAAGGACCAGTCATTATTTATTGCTTGTTGGGGGGCTGGTTAGTATGTACCTGATCCCCCTTCAAGGCTCTATAATATTCATACGGTCTCTTCTCATTGGCAGTTAATTGGAGGTTAATTTTCTGCAGTCCCCCTTTTATACACCTTTATACAACTTTAGTGACAACTGATCCCCATCCCCTCCCATGTGATCCCGCTCAAAATCTTCCACTCCAGGCCCAAAAGTATGGAGAAATAAGAATCATATCGGCCGTTTAATAACTAGTGACTGAACAGTAAATTGTGCTTGTTTCTCTGTAGTCTAAGGTTTTAAAAACTTTTAGCAATTATTTATTTTTGTGCGGGGTTTCCCAAAGCGTCAAAATAGCATTGAAATTCAAGCTTTATTGTTCCATTCTTTTTTAGGAAAGTATGATAAGCCTCCAACGTTTAAAGTTTCGCATTGGCCTTTCATTCCCACTGGTGTTCTTGTCAATTTGAGTGTAACATTTACACCTGGTAAGTTGATATCAATCGAATACGGAGGAGTTATTATATTTTAATAATTTTGATATCGAATATGATATTGTAAACACTGGGAGGGAGGAGAGAGGAGAGGCTTATGAAATTCCAAGGCTTCGGGGGGGGGGGGAATCAGAGGAGAAGCTTTTCGGAGGTGGGGAGGGGCTTTGATTTAGTTTTTATTCTGGTTTTTTTGAGCTGAATTCACTTTTCCGGTTGAAAAATTTCGACATTCAGAATGTGAAACAATGGAGTACTTCAAATACAACCTTTTTTCGGAAATGAAAGTGTGCTTTGGGGAAGGAGGGGAAAGAATCGCTCAGGGGAGGGCCTTAGTAGACTAGTTGGAAGGGAGGGGAGGGTGCTACTAGAAACGTGAAAGTCCACATGGTAAATTTATAAGAAACAGATGGAAGGGGCCCGGCGGCTAAGAGAGACGGGCTGTTGCAAATCCATAGAGTATAGAAAAATGAAAAAAATAATGATAAAATAAGACATTACAAGTCCTACCAGCATGTAAGACATGTAAGACTACCGCATATCTCGTTTGAACCTACTGTAGGGTCCAATCGAGTTGTTTTTCATAGAACACTCCAAGATTTGATCCTTTTGGTGGTGGGGGTAATCAGATTTTCTTTTGGAAGTACACTCGTGACAAAAACTTTTAGTATTCTTCTTTGGTCAACGACCAAACCATTAATCTAACCCCTTTCTTATCCAGTTGACTATGGGTGGATACTATGAAGATCCAGGATTTGAGAATAGAAGATTTGGGTTAGTGCTGAGAGCGATCGCCAGCAAGGGGTTAAGACCTCGGGAAAACACCCCTCGATGCACAACAGATGTAGCTCATATTGTATTACTTCCTTTATTACACAAGGTTCTTCTAGCCGCTTTCTAACTGATACTTGCTTCTAATAGTGGTGAATGTTTTGGAGGCGATCTTGCAATACGAATTGGTCTCAGTAGACGGTGAGGTTGTTCTCAGGAACAGATACGACCGTGTATGCATTTCTTCCCCAGATCTGTGCAGCTTACCTGCTGGTGGTAAGTCTCCAAAAGAGAGTGAAAACAAACAAAAAACAAAAAAACAAAACAAAACAACAACAAAAACAAAAAAAAAAACAACAACAACAAAAAAAGAAGTAAAACGGGAAGAGAAAAAAAAAACGGGAAAGGGACTAGGAGAAACTTTTGCACACATGGGTCTTCTTACCTTTTCAAATATTTCCAAAGCTTACCGAGTACTCCGGTCAACAGATCAAAACTATAGGTTCTGCCCTTTAAAAATTCCAGCCTAAAACCAAGGAGGCTTTTTCCATCAACTGGGAAAAACCCATTAATCATTTCAGTTAAATAGTAAATGATGTCAACCTCACACTTTTGCTTTAATAGCCGTTTATAGAGGTTCGTTTTCTCCTATATTCCTGTCATCATAGTTATGCACATCTGTCGAGATTAGTATTAATTCAAATGGTTTCTTTTTTCAAATAGTTTTTCAACCGACGAAGGCGCGAGCTGAGACACATCGAGACGTGTTTGAGAAATTAAAAATGTTTACAATCTCTCCAAATTGCTCTCTTGACCATCTCGAACAGGCAGCTTCGAATGCAAAAACAGAGAAAAAAAATACAAAAAAATGGCAATAAAATATTCAGGCAATCTGTTATCACTGATTACTGTATCGATCTTATATATTGCTCTTGGCGGTGTCTCCCATTATGACTGACCTTAACTGATTTTTGTTATTGTATTTTATTTTTATTTTTGTCTTCTAGAAACCAAGGTGTGGGTTGGATCTGCAAAGTTGCCGCCCATTCCTCCATTTTTTAAGGTAATCAACCAATTGACGCAGCTCTGTCAGCCCACCGGTCTCAGTGCTTGTGATTCCTTTCTGACAGCTGCGACTGCATTTCAGTCTTTTCTCCCTCGCTAAATTTCTTCTGGTTTGTTAATCATAACGTTGTAGTTTTCGTCCTTTCCGTTATGATGTTTATGCACCTTACGAGCGCTTGTACATTTTTCAACGAAATTGAAGCCGAACTCTCTCGTAAGCACTCATCCTATTGGCTCCAAAATCAGCTCTTTTAAGGTTTTAAAATTCATTGGCCACCATCCAGGCCTAAGAATATACCAATAAATTGGTTTTATAAAGTGAGTCAAACCTGCGAATGAGCCTCCGTGAAGAGTTTCTAAAGCTGACATTTTAAGCGTCAGCCTATCTCTCTGAGTAACGACTAACGCTTGAAACATCGGCTATGAAAACTCTTTACTGTGGCCAGTTTACATCATCAAATCTTTTGTTAAAACCAAATAATCCTGTTAACCCCTCCCCCCACCGACAAAGCGCTATAATTTCTTTGGAAACTTACACTCATCATTTCAATGATTTCCAGTCGAGCACTTTGTAATTTTCTTTTAGAAATTTTTGTAAGCTCATTTTAATACACGCTGGCTCTCTTGAATTTTTCAGTAGTTTCAGTAGCCATTCTCTGCCATTCTCTCTTATCTTTGTTATCATCACATCGACCGCGCGCTTTGACAAAATAATAATGATGGTGATGATCATTATAATTACGATTACGGTGATTTTTGTCACTGCGTGTCCTAGTTGGATCTGCTCTTTTCGAGGAACAAGAGAGAGTCGTTGATAAATGCATGCGTTGACATTCTACGTTTTAAGACATTCTGCTTTCATTCTATTCTTCAATCTATTATAGAAACGAACCTATAAGGGAAGAGTTCAACTTTTCAATGAAAAGAACATAATGTTTCTCTGTGGTGAAGTTGTTGGAAAGGTACGCTAGAAGACGAACACGAGTCAAGACTCAAGTGAAAGACAAGAAGTAAGGGGGAAAGTAATTCGCTTAAGCAGGGGAAGACATTAAAAAAGTCGTCTTGCAATCGCTGATATTGTAAAATAAGGTTTCAAAATCCAACGACAATCATTAAAGATAACTCCGCTCTGTAGTTTGAGTAAACTCACAGATTAAATTTTTAAGGTGAGGGAATCAACTCATGAATGAAAAAACAACGCAGCAAAAACAGGTAACAATAAAGAGAGGGGATCAATTCGCGCGAAAAATAGTAAACTGTAGCAGAAATTACATAGATTTGAATAAGCAAGATTTTCCAAGAGAGCTAGCTAAGCACACTGGAACTTTTGAACCTCTCCCTATACACGGTGCTCCCTTGAAAGTCCGACAGTTCAACAGAGATGTAAATAGAAATACGAAAGGACTGATCTGTGTGTTTGAGTTATTTGATCTATTGAGTTGCATAGCGTATTCACTACCAAGCCATTGAGAAGTTTATTGCACAAAAGCAAATCTCAAACCAAAAATCTATCTATCTATGCTGTCTTTGGTTTTGTTTATCTAAACTTTCGCTGTTTTTTTTTTTTTTTTTTTTTTTTTTTTTTTCTGCTCAATAGATAATTCTTTTAGAGTTCACCGCGTCCTGAGTTTCAAAGGAAATAAGAGACTTTTCGTGACAAAATATCATCCATATTCGCTGCATACGACCGTTTGTTGCTGATAAAATAAATGCGCTTTTCAAATCGTTTTAGATCATTGAGCTTTTCAGTGATTTTAAATTTGTTGCATGGCATAGCTTACTTGAGACTCGGTGGTGTGTGCTGGTTGGAAAGGAAAAGAGAGAATGTGGGCTTTATCCATCCACCAAAAAGTTTCTTGAATAATTCCTATGAAGTTCAGCGTTCACTATATATCGTGATTCCACGATGTCTCTGTGCAGTTAATGAAAACTGCGTGGTTATTATGGCCGATTCGTTAAAAAAGTCATTTCACGAACGACAAATTCACACGCGCAAAATAAAGTCAACATGGAGATTCACGCACGTTACAATGAAAGCTGTTCCACGCAACAGCTGCAAACGCTAAAAACACGCGAGACGCCTATGTGTTTTGTAATTCGTTAGTCAAGGCGACCTCCCTGGCTGACATTGGTGATTGAAAGAGATGCGTTGTATCGTCATCTGTTATACGAGACTGTGGCATTCCTCAATTCATCCCTAAACCCATTTCTTTACTGCTGACGACGTAAAGACAAAAGGGGAAAATCTAGCTCGTTGTAAAAGCGGCAAAATATTTACCTTCCACTGGGTTTATCAGCCAACTAGGCAATGGACTGGAAAAGTTCACTAGACCAATTCCTCAATAAAAAGAGAGGAAGATCATGTCTGGATCTGTAACCTTAAAACTCTGCCACCACGTAAGCTACTTTAAAGCGAAATATTTAACTAGACCTAGAGACTATTTGCGGCTATCAACAAATTTAGTCACGTCAGAGTCATAAAATATCGAAATGAAGAGTTTTGTGAAAGAAGTCAACGACCCTATGGAGCCTCCTTAACGTGCTACGCCATTTGTGGTTTTCCATGCTTCAAAAGAATAAAGGTTTATTAGGAATTTATACAAAACATTCAAACTAAACAATTACTTCAGTAGCCATTACGCCAGCAAACTGATAGAAAGAGTTCTTTATTGCTTAAATATATGTAATGCGTCAAACTCAAATATACTCGAAGGTGCGAACTTTTTAATTAAGCAAAAAATATTTAGTTTTTTAACTGAAAACAAACTTAATATGATTTATAACGTTTACTACCTCAATTTAAATTAAAGACTCAAAAACATTTCGCATTGTGTTTAAAGAAGACAGCCTTTGCGGGAGTCGCTAGTGCCTTTAGTTGCAATGAATTGCCATTTAATAGTCTCACAATAGCCAGAGAGATTTCAACAAAAGCTCTAATTGTTTAAGCTATCCAAAGCGAGATATTTCATGAGGCACAGAAAAAGATTTTAAAGACAGATATTTCAGTGAAGTTCTTCAGTTGCTATCTTCAATGAAGCGTGAAAGTTCATCGGATGTTCCCGTTCTTGTAATCATTCCTTAGCGAAGGAAGCCGGAACATTGGATCGGGTTGAAGGTAATGTACTTCAAAACTGACTTCACATGTTGAATTCCGTTTCCTTTAAAGTAGAAGAAAAGACGGAGTTCAACACTTGTACATTTAATTAAAATCTTACACGAAAGCGTTCAAAACGGTAAGGTGTCCCTTTTTTTCTGAAATTTGTCTTTGTTTTCGCTCTTGCCAAAAAGCGTTTTGAGAATGGGTGTTGACATTTCGTCAGTACAATGATTTGGATTTTTTTTCTAAGATCTCAGTATTCATTATACTCCATCTGTACCTCGCAGTTTTCTGTTTTCTACGAATGCTGTCACATTTGGGAACACTAAATGAGATGACTAACGAAAAAACCTTAAATTCTCCCTCCTTAGCGGCTTCCATAGCTGCAATTTTGTAAACTACATCCTAAAAAGCTGTCAGTATAATAAGGTCTCAAAGTTCCACTTACAGGAAGAGTTAAGCTGTGGGAAGAAATGACCAAACATCGCGATCTGTTTTAAGATCACAATTGTGTGAGCCAGTGATAAAGAGAGTCAAATATCCTTAATAACCTGGATAAGGATACTTAAAGGTAAACTGACGGCTAAAAGGTAATTTTTTCGGAATACCGTCTAAATGCCCCAGGTAACACATTGAAACATATGCAAGGTGCTTCGAATGCCTCTTTGTGCCTTTTTTCGCCGGGAAAACTGTCCTAAATCCAGCTTGGTAAGTCATCCACCGTAAACGCTTCGATTTTGATCATTACGTCACACGTGTGTACATTAAGCAAAGTAAATATGGCGGATAGTCGTTCGAGTGAAAGCAGTTTTATTTCGAGGTCTGATTATTTGGATTTTGAGGCCTCGATGGAGGGTGAACATAATGAAAGGGTTCATGAACCTGTTGTTAAAATCAGGCCCTTGCGATTTGAACCGCTAGGACGAACCTAAAATAGAGCGCGAGAATCAAGAAAGCGAGAATGGTGAACGTATTTACGCTTTCAAATAAAGTCTTTGAAAATCAGTCGCTCATTAAATGTAGGAGCGAGCAAGTAATGAAAACCAAATGTGTAGACTCTTGAATAACATGGGAGCGAAGCTGAAGCTAGGGTTTTCCTGAATGAAAATATAAACATGCACGTTTGTGGAGTTGAATTGGATGGATTATACAAGTTTCCACGCGATTGAATCGGTTTTCATTTTTTCTTTGTTGAATTTGGCGAACGACTAAAGATTTCTCGGCTTTTACTTTAAACCCCAAGCAGCAAAAGATAACATTCGTAAATGTAGTATTGAAATCCTCTTAATATTAACTTATTGTTTACTTGTGGTCTTTGCACCTTGTTTCATATATAGCCTAAAGTTTGTTATCTCCCACGTTTGCCAAACGGTGAAGGTCACAGAGCTGACAACTGTTCCTTTTGGTGAAACTAATCATACATGTTGTGCTACCTATTTTTTCTGTTCAACATCGTGAAAAAAAATCTACTTTACTGATTTTTTTATTACAAGGTGTCAGTCTGGAAACTGCCGATCAATGTGAAGGGAGAAAGAAAACACCCTCTAAAACTCCCTCTGCATGGAAGTAGATGTGGTAAAAAAAAAATATATATATATATATATCTATGTATATAGAGGATGGTACAGTGGAACAGTTACAGCCAGAAGCCAGATGTATTGTCCAGCATTCAGGGTTTAAGGAAACTAGTGAGGGCTGACTCTCTCTCTCTCTCTCTCTCTTTTTTTTTTTTTTTTTTTGGTTACAAAACATCATTATGTACACAGCGCTTCCCTGGTTTTCGTTTTCTTTGTTTTACATCCTGTTGTTTTCCGTCCATATTATCAATGTCAACGCGGCTAAGAGTGGTACAGTCTCATGACATGTGCTTATTGGTTTCCTATCTCAGGCTGTCGGTTTGTTTACGATAAACGAGTGTGAGTAATTTACTGTTCATTCAGCTGACAGTGGTACATTTTTGAAACGAGTAACCTTTCGAACAGGACTGATTTCATCATGTTTCCGGTCGCAAATGAGAAACGACGCTTGAGTGTGGCGCTCATAACAAGGCGTTACGACATGATTCTGTTATTATACACTACCACTGGAAGTTAATCAAACTTAGGCACACGAATGTGCTATATATGCTGCTCAATGTTAGTTGTAATCATTCCTGGAAAACTCTCAGCTAGAGACAAAACGCGTCCAAAAAAATAAACAAAAAGGTTACAACAGCAAGAAGTCTTCCTTCCTGCTGCTCACTAGTCTCCTTTAAAAAAAAATGAAAAAAGGATAATTCTTGTACATTTCCGGAACGTGAAAGAAGAGTTTCGTTCACGAAACCGGATTACGACCTCCTGTAATAAGCGGCAACACCTTGCGCTTAGTCATGTTCACTCCAGAACCGATGGGCCTGAGGTCCCAGTGATACACACTGGACAAAATCTAAAGTCAAATACTTTCGGCATGGAATAAAAAATATTTCTTTGAGTATAAGACTCGATAATGGTTGGGAAGAAAAAATGATGGGAAAATATTTTTTACAGCTGTTTATTTATATCGTTTATTTGCTCATTCAGGATTCTTTAACCTAAGAGGAATGTACTGGGACAAAAAAAAAATGGCGCGGGGGGAGGGGATAGAATTAGGCGTCAGTTACCCTTTAATGATTTTATCATAATACTTTCATTGCGCGGAAAACGAAAGAACTTGGGATTGACAAAACCACCATCATCCACGGTAACTTTCCTTGATTTTTTTGGCAAATGACTTAAATGCATATTGAATAAAACAGAGCAGCATGTTGACTTACCTATGGCAAGCAACAATACAGAGGCGTTAAGGACCACGAATGGAACATTTACAAAGATGGAGTCGTTCTTTCCCTCTCCTTGACTCTCATCCCAGTTTGGGCTTTTGTATCCAAATAGGAAAATCAATGAGATAAATATCAGCTTGCGGTACAACTCTGTGATTTTCTCCTGTAGTTTTCAAAGAACACTCTGAGTCCGAAAGAGACTGTTTCGTTTTTCTGGGACTCACGATATTTTTAAGTGAGGAAAAAAGCCAAAAGTGGAAATCCTACATTCATGACAACAATCATCATGAACTTTCCAAGCTGATCAAGCTGATTAAAGCGGTTGTGTTGAGTCGGTTCTAGTGTCATTGGATTCAGCCATATGTTAAACATCGCATTGTATTCCAAGATGTTTAAGATAATAAGGTGTCACGAGCGACAAATTCACGCGCGAAGTAAAATCAACATGGAGATTCATGTGAGAGGGGTGGGGCGATGAAAGCTGTTCCACGCAACAGCCGCAAACGCTGAACACACGTGATACGCGTATAGTACGAATTGTGGCGCATATCACGAGTGTGCTCGTGATTCTCAATTACTCATGCCAAGATAATGGCTGACATGGTGATTGAAGAAGATGCAATGTTTGATCATCAGTTACACGATCATGTTACGTAGCTGTGACGTAGAAAACTGTGAAGACACGTCATCAATTATGGTGGAATCTAGAAGAAAGGACGAACGTATTGCGAGGCCTGAGTGCCAAATGGTGTTAGCTACAAGAATAATACACATTAACCGGATATTTATATTTCACTACTTTCCAAAGGATGTAGCTGTATGGCCAAAATGGACGCGTTTTGATCGTCGACATTGAGGATATGTCATTTTTTTTAATATCGTCGACCTTATGCTCGGTGCCGGCTTCGAAAACACCTGTTAGGAACACATACCACTGGTCAAATCAGGGGAAGATAACCTATGAATTCAGCTAAAAAGAATGCTGATGAAGGAGTCTGTTCCCACAACGAGCACGATTCTTTAACATTCTTTTCGGCTAACATTTTGCAAGCGTAGAATGGTAAGCTCCTCATTGTTGTTTGTTTCACGCGCTTGAGATGTACTCATACTCCTTGTCTTTCTGCATGACTACATTTGCGCTTTTCTTATTGTATGAAAATCCTACCAATTCTAGTTTCCATCGTATTTAAATATCAGATTTTCATCATTCGTAATGAAGTTCAAGCCCTTTCCTGAGCTGACCGATATCCTTTTGAACAGTGCGAAACCTCTGGCGGATACTGACAAACACTATCTCGAAGGGGCTGTGTATTCTCCTAACCTAGGCTTCAGAAGATCCTTCCCACGACCCATTAAATCCCCCCTGTCCTCAAGAAACTAAAAGTAGCCACAGTAGCAATGTCATTGTGATAACAGCACTACAACGAGATAAATAAAGAAAGATAAATTTTATTGAATTAGATGGTAGTGAATCCATGTGGCGTGTTAAAGTCGATGCGTACGAAATATTTATTTATAATACTGCTGTCAGTTATTTACTTTGAGCGGAATGGTTCATATGGCAATGATGCGCCTAAACTAAAAAAGTTTTCTCTATGAAAATCATCCCTAAATGAGATTGACTTGAATCAAATGACTATAAATTCACTCGTTTTCCGTTCGGTTTGACCGGCTCGTCGATCGCGACGATAGCCTCTGCCTTTGCAATTTCTGGGGAAAGGAGCAACTTGCAGTGAAACTACTCAATGACTTCTCGGTGAAAATCATCGTGCCTCGTGATACACGTGATTATTTCGTCAAAAGTTAACTTTTGGTTTACTAGGGGAATTTCTCCACAGCAACGAAACTCTAGAGCACTGAACAAGGGGAACCTTCGCCGCATATAGTGCGAAGGAATAAAATGTTATGGTAACAGAAACGAACACAGTTATCTATTCTTAACATAGGTCTCGCCATAGAAAACAAAACACAAACGCAACAAACTAAACATTAAGCAACGGGCAGTTTCTGTTCAAATCTTAACCTAAACACCGCTGGCGAGAAATCTTCTTTGTCAGTCTTCGCCGAAATCTTCGCGTGATACAACGGGGTTCTCCTTCGTAATCGCAACTTCCATTTCTTCACAACTACTTGAGTACGATGTATCACAACTCTCGGTGGAGCTTGCTGAAGATAGGTATGTATTGCTATCGGACATTATTTCAAGAGCATTTCAACGCTGTCTGATACAAAATTGCAAGAGATGCGGAAGATTTGCAAGTGTCAACAGAGAGTTTTCACAGTTTTCAACGTCATCAGCCGCTAATTCGTTACCAGTCTACGGGACACTTTTAAGACTAGATAAGAGCACTTTAGGGTCCGTAAAGACCGTTCACGTTTTTTGAGATTTTTCTTCAGTCGAAATTGGTTTGTACATATGATGAGCTAAATATTTACGCGAAAGAACTTCGTGTCATAGGCACTTCAAAAGCGCAGAGCATTCTGTTTTGACATGAAGGTCTCAATGGGGTGATGGATTTTACGGTTAAATGTCAAATTGTAGGCCATTTTACGGCCAACAGTTGGCTACCGTCCTTTGTGATTAAAGAACCATTTCTGCAGTTAACTTTTTAACGACTTTCGGCTATAATATTTTTTGGCTGTTTTACAGCTAATGGTGAAGACTATTGTGGCCCCCTTACATTACCAGCAATGAAAGGCAAAATACCGCAAACCAGATAATACTTTTGCCATGACATGTTCATTTTTTGCTTTGAAACACGGTGAACCCCAAAAGTATTTATTTATTGAGCGAAAAAAAAAACGCGTTAGATAATTAAAACCATAGAGAGCGACAATAAGCATCCTTTGGTTATGAGTTTTGCTCGTATGCAATGAACTGCGCTGTCATAATTGATATTTCAAGAAGTTTTTTGAACAATGGCCTGGTCTTGAATACACCAAGCGACTCACAAGAACAGATTACTAAAACAAACAGATCAGTCCTATCTCATTTTTACCAAACTCTTTGTTTTAACTAATGAGTTTCATGGAAGCGCTGTGTGTAGGGAAGAGTTCAAAGGCTCTCACCTGCTCCGCTTGCTCCCTTGCACAATCGTTCTCATTAAAATCTAAGTAATTCTTGCTGCAGTATATAGTTTTTCACGCTAACTGATCCGTCCTCTTATTGTTCCCCGTTCTCTACGTCGGTTTTAAATATCAGGCTATTTCACAAATGAGCTGATTCCCTCGCCACAAAAACGTAATCTATGTATTTATTCAAAGTTACTAGAGTTATCTTTAATTATTTTTGTTAGATTTTAAAACTTTGTTTACAGAATCATTGGTTGCAAGACCACTCTTTGCATGTCTTTTCATGCCTATTTTTTCCTTCATGCTTCCCTTGAGTCTTGGCTCCCGCTTGTCCTGTTCGTCTCTTACCTCACTTTGGCTACAATCTCACCACAGAGAAACATGATATCCTCTTCATTAAAAAGTTGAAATTTCGCCTTGTAGATTCGATTCTAATTGATTGAAGAACAAAATGAAATAGAATAAATAAATTATCGTAGAATGTAAACTCATGCATTGATTTAGGGCCCTCTCTTGTTTCTAGGAATGAACTGATAAAACTATGCACGGCTTGATAATAATCGTCATAATCATAATGATAATGATCAACACCATGATTCGTAATGATTCCTTTTCAAAAAGTGCGCAGTCGATGTAATGGTAATGAAGATAAGGAAGAATGGCTGCTGACGCTAAAGCTCACAGGTGCCAGACAACATTAAGATGAGCGTACAAAGATGACAAAATTCTCGACTGGAAATCATTTTAATGGAGCCCTAGCCCTAGGTCAGAACGAAGGGCTAACTCTTTAGAAACTCTTCACAATGGCTAATTTTCATTTATAACTCAGTCGATAAAACTAAAATATCGGAAAATCCTTTGGCCTGGATGGTGGCTAACGAATTTGATATCCTTGGAAAAGCTGATTTGAGATAATAGGACGAGTGCTCACAAGAGAGTCGGCTTCAGTTTCGTTGAAAAATGTAGTTACATTCGCTTGTGAGACAGATCCATAAATATCATATAGGAAAGGACGAAAACTGTACCGTTATGATTGACAAGCAAGATCAAATCTAGAGAGGGAGGAAAGACTTAAATGCAGCCGGGGCTATCAGATAGGAATCACAAGCGCTGAAACCCGTAAGCTGACTGGGCTACGCTAATCGATCGATTACCTTAAAACCTGGAGGAATGGCCGGCAACTGTCCAGATTGAACCCACACTTTGGTTTCTAGAAGACAAAAAAAAAAAAAAAAAAAAAAAAAAAAAAAAAAAAAGCTAAGAAATTAGCAACGGTTATTCAAAATAGGAAACAACATGCACTAAGAGCAATATATAAGATTGAAAATTAATCAATGAGGATAGATTGCCTGAATTTTTCATTGCTATTTTTTGTTTGTTTTATTTTTCATTCGAAGCTGCCTGTTAGAGGTGGTCAAGAAAGCAATTTGTAAAGATCGTCGTTCTTAATTCTAAAACATGTCTCGATGTATTTCACACCGTCGGTTGAAAAACTATTTGGAAAAAGAAACTGTTTGAATTTATGCCAATCTCGGAATACATGTATGACTATAATCACAGGGATAAATATACGAAAAACAGGAACTAATGGTATGATTAGCTTCCTAAGGTTTAAGCTGGAATTTTATGAACTAGAACCCATAATTTTGATTTAATCTGCAAAGCAGGGTATTAGATGATTAGCTTTAATTATAAATGCTTAAGAAAATTCAAAGTGAAATAAGTGTCTCTTAATCCTCTCTTAGTCCTCTCTTTTTTTTATTTTTTCTTCCTTCCTTTCTTCCGTTTTTTTCTTTCATTTTTTTCTTCCTTTCTTTCTTATCTTCATTTCTTTTTTTCTCATTTTCTTTCTTCTTTTTTTTCTTCGTAGCTCTCTTATTGGGAGACAACTTACCACCAGCAGGTAAACTGCAATAGATTGGGTCCTCATCGCATACAATGTCGTCCATTTTCTTGAAAATCACCTTGCCGTCTGAGATAAGTTCGTATTGCCAGAATATTTCGAGAACATCTACCGCTATTAGAAGCAAGCACTAGTTAGAATGAAAAAGAATTTCTGCTCCATCAGTTGTCAAAGATATTATATGGTATACACCCTTGGTCAAACTGATAAGAAAGAGGTTAAATTTTTGGCTTGGTCTTTGAACAAAGTAGGATGTTAATTATTTTGGTCTCCAGTGTGGGGAAATCTGATTCCCTGAATGGAATACAAATAAAACCTTGGAGCATTGGATTCTGTCGTCCGATACTCTACGAAAAAAACTCAGTGGTGGATTGGACCCCACATTAGGTCTAAACGAGATATTAATATATGTCTTCCAATTTTTCTTGCATGCCGCAAGGATATGCAGTTTCGGTATGTTTTCATACCGCCTAATCACGGAAGATGCTATCCGCAGTTTTTAATCATTCTTGCGGTCGTTTATAATTCATTCACATGTGAGTCAAAAAAAATGTAATTATGCAAACTGGATTTTCTGCAAGCCGTGGAATTTCATAAGCCCCTCCTCCTGCTTTTGTAACGATATCACTTTTAATTGAAAATCAATAAAAAATATTAACTTCTCCATCACAACTTCAACTTACCAGGTGTAAGTGTTACATTAAAATTAAAATGGGTTCCAGCAGGAATGAAAGGCCATGGAGAAACTTTTAACGTTGGAGGCTTATCGTACTTTCCTGAAAAGAATGCAACAATGGAGCATCACCTTGGACTACAAAAAAACAAAATTAGTTTCCAATTGAGTCTTTCACTAGTAAATGGTTGATGCCATTCATTAGTCCCTACACTTCTAACTTACTTTAGTCCAGGCCCCACCAAAATCTTAGATACAAAGCAATGCATGGAAAATTAAATTGTAACTTTGTTTTTTTGCGACAAATGAGTAGTCTTATTCTCGGCTGGTTTTGAGTAAAACAGCCGGTGGGCAGTGGAGAGGTAAATTTAAAAATAATGGAAATGGAGTAATGGAACCCGGATATCAGATAGTTGAAGAAGTAGTTAGTCAACTGCTAAAAAGAAAATCGGCAATTCTTTTTTTCTTAGAGGAATTATCAATTTTCATTTTTCATGCCATTTCTAGTATAATTCTGTAATTTTTCCTAAACAGTTTTTCGGCCAAATTTAAAAAGAGTAACATACCACAGAATGTCACATTAATCATTTCAATTCCAGAGCGATATCCCCATGTTCCACTGATAACAAAAAGTAACATGCTCAGAGAGATAGTTTGTCCCGGTTGTCGCGTCAAAATCATCATCGTCTCCCAACCGACAGCTGTGCAGAAAAACTCTGTAAATTAAAGGAGTTCATTGTGAATTTAATGCGGCCTTTTATAATGAGGGTTTGATAGTCTCTTTGAGATACTTTACCAAAGTCTGTAAAGGTGAGCTTTTAGCTGAAATACTTGAAAAGTAAGTTTTCTTCATGGTTTGTACCAAAATTAAAGAATTAAAAATAATAATAATAAAATAAAAAAAGAAAGAAAAAACCGACGGTGGGTCTAACGAATTCGATATCGCCTGGAAAAGAATTGATGAATAAGGCTGAACAGATCTCTTGCTGAGAAGCCTTCAGCGCACCATAGATAATACCTTACCATATAAATAGTTTTTACCAACCACGAGAACTCTTAGAGATGCCGAATATAGGGAAAAGTAGGTTTAAGATCCTCATTTTCAGCCAAAACCTCAGTCCTTCTCGGGGGGAATTCGAAATTATGAAAATTTATAGAACAAATGAGGCACTACGAGAGCCATCCCTGATTGGTCAAAAACCTTTCGTGTTTATTGCACCGATGAACCCATAGAAACAAAGAAACATGCTCATTTTAATGTTTGATGAAAGAAATCGACGAATTTCTATCTGTTTACCGTTTTCTCTTATTTTCCCAACATCTCTCGAGGGTTATCACGCGGGTACGCTGAAAGATGGCGCGGTCAATTGCCTTAATGAGAGAGAGCGTAACGTATCCATTAAGAAAATTACACAATTTGAGCTGATAAATTATTTCTCTAAATATTTATACCATCGTTACGATTGAGCAGATTCTTGAAATTATGATCCCAAGATTCTAAAAGCGCCAGTTACACCAGTTGACACTTGTGCGAAAATATTGAGCAGTTCCCAAATGGTGAAGTTTCCAATTGCAAAGAAGAAAGAGCTTTCAGCTAGTGCAGATTATCGCGCTTGTTGTGATCTATCCCTTTTATGGTACCCATTCAGTCAAGAGGCAAATTTGCATTTCGTTTCGCTGGTGTATTTGTGGCTCTTGTCAAAATTTTTGTAGGGAACTTATATTAAATACTCTTTACGACTAGATCTTTCGGTTTTTGAAGCTGCAGCAACTTAAGGTAACAAGTGAGGGATGGATCTCTACAATAGTGGTGAAATAAGCTTTCTATTTAATCGAATATTTTGTCCATTCATGATATATCAGGTACTTTGGAGAATGATTTACGATCTTTGTCTTTAAAATATACCTTCACGTGAAAATAACGACATCATAAAGAACTCTTAGTAATGAGGGGGGAGCAAGGCGTGCCTTGTATCTTTGTTGTGAGTTGAGCCTGAAAACGTCCTTAACATGTTCTCAAAATGCATTGTTTGCAGTCATGTGGTATCAAGTCGCTTGTCACCTAGTTGTGCGGCTTGCTTTGATGCCGTAAACAAGATGTCTCACAAACCAACTATTTGAAACTCTTGCTGAATTTGGCTTTACAAAAAGCAAAATGAGCGAAAAAAGAAGTTCTTTACTGATTCTCAGCCTGCGTATGTTCTGAGCATTTTCTTAAAATTCTGGCTTATCTCAGCCTGATAATGATTGTTCTTATAAAAAAAAAAAGATTCTTATGGGTAAAAAAGCTGTGTGTATGTATATATGTATTACCAAAATTTGGCAAATATCGTTATCATTACATTATACAGACAAAATTTGTAGCTTACCGAGAGGAAAAGACCTTGAAATCTGCGTGCAACTTGTCCCAACTGTTTTTGCAACGTAATACTCCTCTAGAGGTTGAAACGTTCCGTTAAAACTCCTGCTTGCATTTGCTGACTTTGCTTCGAATCTTCCTTATCACCTATCGTAATCAAGATAATGTGTCGCAGGTTCATAACCAATTGTCAAGGGCTCGAAACCAAACTATTTTGGACTATTGTGACGAAAACCTAACCGAAGCAAAAGCAATGACCAGTCATAAACAGGAAGTAATCTATCACCAACCAGTACTGTGAGCAGTGCTAATGTAGTGTCAAAGAACTAGAGCTTATGTTTCAACTCGTTTATCTTTCATAACATGCGTGGTGTTGCGAAAAATCGAATTTGAAGGTACTTGATACCGTTCCCAAACATTGATCAAAGAAATCTTTGGAATCTCTGGAATCTTTTTAGGTACGAAATGATTTAGGCGAAAAGACAGCACTTTCATAACTTGACGGTCTTCCATTTCGTAACCTGTTCCCGTCCATGAAATGAATTAAATAATGAATTAAGGGATAAGGCATAACCAGTTTAATATGGTCATATCTGTACTGTCTTTTTATTTCTTTATCTCATTTAATACATTAAGGTGCATTAGCGTTTATGAACTTTTGTAATTAGCAGACTGAAACCAGTAACTGCTTTTAAGTAATTTGCATTAAAGCGTGCTCATAATTAATATTAATGCTTCAGAGTTTCGAAACTTTTTGTGGTCTTCCGTTTCGTAAACTGTTGCCCTGTAAGAAATCAATTGAATAATTACTCTAAAGGCAGAGGTTATAACCAGTTTAATATGGCCATATTTTCGCGTTATTAAAATTCACACTTGAAATTGATGAAGGGGTACATATTTTACCAGCTCAGACAAAGATCGTAAATCACTCTACAAAGTACCTGATATATCATGAATGGACAAAATATTCGATTGAATAGAAAGCTTATTTCACCACTATTGTAGAGATCCATCCCTCACTTGTTACCTTAAGTTGCTGCAGCTTCAAAAACCGAAAGATCTAGTCGTAAAGAGTATTTAATATAAGTTCCCTACAAAAATTTTGACAAGAGCCACAAATACTGTCTTTTTATTTCTTTATCTCATTTAATACATCAAGGTGCATTAGCGTTTATGAACTTTTGTAATTAGCAGACTGAAACCAGTAACTGCTTTTAAGTAATTTGCATTAAAGCGTGCTCATAATTAATATTAATCTTCAGAGTTTCGAAACTTTTTTGGTCTTCCGTTTCGTAAACTGTTGCCCTGTAAGAAATCAATTGAATAATTACTCTAAAGGCAGAGGTTATAACCAGTTTAATATGGCCATATTTTCGCGTTATTAAAATTCACACTTGAAATTGATGAAGGGGTACATATTTTACCAGCTCAGACAAAGATCGTAAATCACTCTACAAAGTACCTGATATATCATGAATGGACAAAATATTCGATTGAATAGAAAGCTTATTTCACCACTATTTAGAGAATCTTGCCTTAAGTTGCTTTCAAAAACCGAAAGATCTAGTCGAAAAAGCTATTTAATATGGACTACAAAAATTTTGACAAGAGCCACAAATACTGTCTTTTTATTTCTTTATCTCATTTAATACATCAAGGTGCATTAGCGTTTATGAACTTTTGTAATTAGCAGACTGAAACCAGTAACTGCTTTTAAGTAATTTGCATTAAAGCGTGCTCATAATTAATATTAATGCTTCAGAGTTTCGAAACTTTTTGTGGTCTTCCGTTTCGTAAACTGTTGCCCTGCAAGAAATCAATTGAATAATTATTCTAAAGGCAGAGGTTATAACCAGTTTAATATGGCCATATCGGTATTGTCTCATTATTTCTTTATCTAATTTTATAGTTTGAGGTTCTTTGCGTTTACGACCTTTTGTACTTAGCAGATTGAAACCAGTGACTGCTTTTAAGTAATATGCATTAAGGCGTACTCATAATTAATTTTAATGCTTCAGAGTTTCGAAACTTCTTGTTCCCGGTGATGTTTGTGCCTTTGTCAGCAGTTAACGTTGCGTTGCAGACAGATAGTGAAAATGTGAAACTGATATCTGAGAAGCACGGACTGAAGCGTTAGTTGTCGAAGGGCCAAAAATTTTACAGTCAACGTCGAAGATCAAGATGGTTATAATCAACCATGTCTTCGAGCCAATACTAATCCTCACATTCTTTGACATTGTATAACATCGTAGGAGCTGCAAACGCAATTGCGTGTGCTCATCGAATCCGCTTTCGATCCTTTTTATTAAAGATAGAAATTTCGGGAATTACAAGAGGACTATAAGAGGAAGGAAGTTATGCAACTTTAAAAACATTCTTCGAAGAGTCCGATACTTGGTTGTGAGAGATATTTGGGTGAGTTTATTAGATGGATAAGCTTTTCAACAGCGTAGAAAAATCTTTTTTTCTTCTTATTTCAGAGAGAACAATTTGCAATTTTTTTATTTAAAAAAATTATGACCTCACAGCTTCCTGTCAGAGAAATATTTGGATAAAACTGATTTATTCCTACTGAAAACAGTGATTATATATCCGAATGTTAATAATTTACAGGAGAAACATGCCTCGCAACGTAAGCCATATCGCTTTTGAACAACGGATAACGGTTTTGAATAAGTCTTTATTTATTAGGTCTCTTGAAATCAGAATATTATAATTTGCTTCTCTAGCAAACCGCTCTGGCCACGGTAACGATGTTCACTAGTGTGATACAAGTCATCTTGATCTTGTGGTTTGCAACACCATCTGAGAGTGACGTTTGCAGCCAAAACATCTGTCAGTGTACCAAGTTCGGTAGGACTCGGCTAATAGTAAAATGTCGAGTTCGTGGATACTTATCAGCCGGAATCCCAAGCAATACAGTAGAGCTGTAAGTGAAAGAAAACTTCGCCATCCTTCATCCTACAGGGCCTATTATCGTCTCCTTTGTGTTCATATTTGTTACTATAGTTTGTAGACACATCTTAGACTTGCTAAGGAGTCTTGGTCAGAGCTATAAAAAAAAAAAAAAAAAAAAGCAAATATGAGTTCCGAACAAACAAGCAAAAAAGGAAAAACAAACACACGATTTAAAATTAATCATAAGAAAAGTCATAAGGCTGTGAAAACTCAAAATTTGAACGCTAGGTGTCAATTTAAACTAAAATACTTTTAATTTAGATAGTCGCTTATTTAATCCTTTCGGACCTTACCTCCTCTAGAATTCAAATTTATGTTCATTACCAATTTTACTTACAGTTTAATTTTTACCCAGGGATCTTTCAAGTTGTTCGTTGAGCTCAATTACAGAAGACATCTTCAGGAACCTGACTGTTTTAAAGAAATTGTAAGTTGTAAATGAAACTGAATTAAAAAATCACTGTGAGTTCTTAAGAAATGTAAAAGAATATAGTTTCCGTTAATGAGAAACTCGTCTTGGATCGAAAATATTTCTCTTATTCAGAAGAGAAAAATTTATCAAGGTTGTGAAAAAGTTTGAAAATTATCTTGAGATTTGTCCGGGCCACCTACGAACGCGAACAAATTAAAAAGTTAACTATCTGATTAAAAGTTATATCTGAGTACTCATGGATGGTTCAACAGCTGACTTACTATCTATGAGCTGGTAGATTTCGACCGTTTACCGTGATCATTAGGATACTAACATCGTCTTTCTAATGTTAAGTAAAACAGAAAAGGGCAAGTAATCTTATGTAAGGAGAACATTTGTCTTTTGGAAAATTTTATGCTCGATCTGTCAAGAATCATTTTTTTTCCTTTTAATCTATAAATTTCTTTTTCCAGGGACTTATCAAAGAATTCACTGCGACACATTCCTCAAAACACTTTCCGCAATATGGAGAAACTGGAAATAATGTAAGGGAATTCCCCTCCCACCAATTTAATTAAACTGAACCAATTTGCAAAATGGTTAGAAAAAATCAAGTGAAAAGCATTTCCTTTTTTTTTTTCATTGTCATCTTGTTAGGCTGGTGAAAATCACTATCCTTGTAGAGTTTAGCACTATTTTTGATCATTTCAACTTTCATTAGCTTTGTTATGATAAACAACTATTCACCTGCACCTAAGTGGGAATGGCTAGAAGTGGATATTTACCGGGCCGTGAAGAGGCGAGGTAAATATCTATTGGTAGCCACCGACATTGGGGTGAATAGTAGTTTTAGCTATTACATAGTAAAACAGTGCGATAGTTAGCGCATTATTTTTTTTTCAATGCGTGAGCGGGCGGTATTCTATACAAATATCTGAGTACTCATTGATGGTTCAATAGCTGACTTACTATCTATGAGCTGGTAGATTTCGACCGTTTACCGTGATCCTCAGGATACTAACATCGTCCTTCTAATGTTAAGTAAAACAGAAAAGGGCAAATAATCTTATGTAAGTAGAACATTTGTCTTTTGGAAAATCTTATGCTCGATCTCTCAAGAATCTTTGTTTTTTCTTTTAATCAATAACTTTCTTTTTCCAGAGACTTATCAAAGAATTCACTGCGACACATTCCTCAAAACACTTTCCGCAATATGGAGAAACTGGAAATAATGTAAGGGAATTCCCCTCCCACCAATTTAATTAAATTGAAACAACTTGCAAAATGGTTAGAAAAAATCAAGCATTTCCTTTTTTTTTTTCATTGTCATCTTGTTAGGCTGGTGAAAATCACTATCCTTGTAGAGTTTAGCACTATTTTTGATCATTTCAACTTTCATTAGCTTTGTTATGATAAACAACTATTCACCTGCACCTAAGTGGGAATGGCTAGAAGTGGATATTTGCCGGGCCGTGAAGAAGAGGCGAGGTAAATATCCATCGGTAGCCACCGACACTGGGGTGAATAGTAGTTTTTGCTATCATATAGTAAAACAGTGCGATAGTTAGCGCATTATTTTTTTTTCAATGCGTGAGCGGGCGGTATTCTTTACAAATCCTGCACTCTGATTGGTTTTGAGAGCGGGCAGTATTCTCCCATCTGGTCCCATCCGGCTCGCTCACATTGGGCGGTATTCTAACCGTTGCGTGTTCAGTCGCCTAGTAAATCCCTAGCTTAGCTGCAAATTTTCATAAACATAAATTCTTTTTCAGCTGGGAAGCATTTTTAAGCAAAGACTTCGGTCACGACCTAAAGCCGATCAATAGCTTAAATGAGGCTGTGTGAATTATTTTGGTCCACCGTCTAACACTTATGAGTTGATTTTAGATATTGAATTTGTTTAGGAAAATCGGTGACAACTTATTATCAATTGCTGATGTAAAAGTCGTTCTCAAAGGATTAACGCGACTTCACAGACTGTAAGTGTCATGTTTTAAGTTGATTTAAAAATCACAAAAAATATATTTTCGAATGCTTAAAGCAAATAATCGTTGGAGATATTCGCTAAATACTCGTTCATCACAGTCCACATCAGTGGTTCATCACAGTTTATATGGAGTTAAAATTTCGCACCTCATATCAGCCTTCATGTAATCATCAGATAATTGCAACTCATTTCAAACTGTTTACTTTCACAGACATCTTGATAGAAATCCACTTGGACCTTCTCTGCCATCAGATATTTTCACTGGGTTTGAAAATATGACATATCTGTAAGTTCAGTGGTTCCACAAATCACCAACTTAGAAGAAGTATCATACTGAACGTTTGTTTTATTATGTAGTGACACTCGTAGTAAATCCTGGCGTTTCATCCTTGCATATTTGGTTTAATTCAGACCCCGAAGTCGATTGCTACCTCATGAAGCACTATACTCTGTTACGATTAGCTGTGGCACACTGTGATGTAGCAATTCTGCTGTTATATTTCTTGATCGTTCCCTTCCTTACTTCTGGATTTTCTGCTAGGTGGAATCGCCTGAACTGCCCCTTAAACTGTATGTGTTTAAAAATAGGAAGCGCAGTCAATGAACTTTATTCCTTATCAATTCGAGCGGTTTTCGCTGCTGAGTAGGTGCTCCGTGGGACGTCGGAAGTCTGTGCGAGTTGAGTGTCCGCGCAAATAACAGCTGTCGAAAAGGAATATTCGTAGAAACGTTTCTTTCACATACAAAATGACCAATATCGTTATATTGCTTTATTCATACATACGATAAATTACAACATAACCACCCTTTCTTGCCACATAAGTTATAAATAGGAATAACCGTTCTCACTGAAAACTCTATGCATTTCCCAGGTATTAGCTGCAGCCATCTCCGCGAAAACTAGCTTGGTTGTTAAGTTGTTAATTTTAGGAACAGTTAGTTTTGGCCCGACAGAGAAGCATATTTAAAAATTATAAAGGAATATTCTGCTCTATCCGTCTAATTATAGGTACTGCGATATATTTTTGATAGTGCATTCTTCAATTAGCCAATACCACCCTTTAAATATTTTATTAATAGCCATCATCAAACTTCTCTACAACGCTGTCTTTTTCATACAATTTTTGCAGTTCCATGATTGGTTGCAACTTGCAAAAAATCGAGAATGGATCTTTTCGAGCAATGCGACACCTACAAGAACTGTAAGTAGTTTTTCAACATTTTTTTTTTCATTTTTTGTGACGTTTAAGCGTAACATCTGACATGTCTCGGAAAGTTTGTGTCTAAATAGCACAATTAAAAAATGAATACAAAACTTTAGCAATCGCTTGAAAATTAATGATAAATAGGCAAGGAATTCGACTTCGTGTACATTAGTTTGTAGCCAGGCTGCTCTCGCATATGAGCTGGTTTTGTAAACACAGAGATCATTATTTGCCCTTGGAATACTTAATTATTTTTGGAGGTAACTCCAGATTGCTTACACATATCACCAAAAGAAGGCTATGAAAATGAAGACTAAGCTGATCAAGAGTCAAATGAAGGAGTTTATCGTCGAATTTTGGAAAATTTGACGAAAGTTTCAATGCAATTCTTTGGATTTTCACAATTTGGTTTGATTTCAACATGGTGAAGAGTTCTGGTACTAGGTTTTGTAGTGCGAACACTTCATGATCACTTGTCATATCCTTGACTTCGGGCCATGACAGACAGCTTCATTTGCGGTGAAATCAACCTGGAATGAGCGGCATTGCATTACTGTTTTAAATTTGTCCGTTTTCAGTGATCTTTCCTCCAATAAACTGACTCATATACACAAGGGCACAGTGGAAGGACTCACGGATCAACTCAGTGTCTTGTAAGTACGTTGGCTGTGCATCAACGTTCTTTGCCTACCACCGGGTAATGCGAGTTTAAAAGGAATATCTTAACAGACCTCACTTATTTTGTGGACAGTGAAATCCTTCAGTGTATCCAAACCCTCGTCCTATCGTTGGATCCGTAGTGACAATGAGATTTATCAAATATTTAAAAGAAAATAAAGTTAACCCCCTCCCTCCCCCCTTCTTATGTAGATATTACAGTTGCTGCAGTTGGACTGAATAAGTTCAATTCTCTTTATTCTGGTTAATAGGTACCTTCAAGGAAATGAGATAGAGACAATAGGTGATGGCACTTTAAATCAATTTAAAAATCTCCAAACATGGTGGGTATTTTTAAACATTTTTGCATAAAACAGGTAAAATGGCAAAGAATTCGATAAGGAGCAAAGTTAAAATGGTGCGAATAACTACTTTTCTAATGCAAGGTTAAGGAAATATTTTGTATCAAAAGAGAATATTGAAGAAACGTAAAATGGTTTCCGTGTTTACATAGCCTGATGTAAACACGCGGATGGTTGGGAGAACGAGAGATAGGCGTCGGAAACCACGACACGAAGCGGAGTGGTTTCCAGCTTATCGAGTGTTCTCCCAACCTCCCAACCATTTTACATTTCTTTTATAAAATAACTAATGAAAGTGGAACGAAAACCGTGTTTACATACGCTCATGTAAAATGGTTTTATGGCCAATCAGAGCGCGCGTACTATTTGAATTATTTTATAAAACAGTTTCTTTGTATTATTATTCCAATATATTAGGTCGATTCACCGACGTAACGCAACGGAACGCGCAACGCTTTCCTGCAGAACAGGGCAAAAATTCGGACAGACACGATCCACGTGATCTTTGATTTCTCTTCCACTTTTAAGACATGATTTTTTTCAGCAAGGAACTTCAAACCCCACAATTTTTTTGTGTAAGGTCATCAAGAATAGTTAAACGGTTTCTTCTGTATTATTTTCTTTTTTCACACACGCCCCATGCGATCTGTTCGATTCTCAGTTGAGACCTTACGAAAGTCGTAAAATTGCGTATTATTTGTTAAAACATCGGAAAAGGTGTATTATAGCCTGAAAAAAAAAAACCATCACTTGTTGCAATACGCCAATTTTATTTCAGATTACACTATGCGATTGTAACTTGCTAATACCCTTAATGGATTAAAATGAATTAAAAGATGTTTGACGTTAAACACGAATGGCAAAAATCAGTGATGAAGCTTATGCAAATAATCCTTGAAAAAGTATGCAGAAAAAATATAAAGATTAATATCTCTGATGAGCGAAAAGAGAGAAATGCCCATGTCAAAGAAAATTGGACAGAAAATGCAGGAAAGAAACAGTTGGTCACACGAAGTATCTTGAAGTTGTTGCGCGACAAAGCCAAAGGGACATGACAAGGTAGAAAACAACTGTTCAAGGCGAGTGTTTTTTGAATGAACGACGCCGAATTCACTGGAACATGAAGATCGCTCAGGATGACAGCGCGGCAAAACTCGGCTGCAGTGACAGATGTGACTTTAAACTCAACGCATCGGAAAGGATATCAGAGCAAGCTCTTATTTTTTCATTCGAAGGGCGGCCGATGAATTTTCTGAGGCTTGCTGTACTGTGATGACCGGAGATCGCCATGATGGACGAGCCGCGATGGACTTCAGCATGATCATATTCGGTCAGACACCGCCATGATTAGAATGAATTTTAATAGTTATGCCAGTTTGGTTATATTTTTCATCATTTCTGTTTTCTTCTGTTTTGTTTTTGAACACTGAACTTTATATACTATATGAGTGTTAACTGTGTTTGATTTTAATTTCCGTACGGAAGCTTGCAATCTAAAACTCGGAATGTCGAATTTGTTTTCCTTTGAGGATTTTTGTATCTGCTCACATTTTAATAACGTAAATTACGGCGCCTAGTATGTTTACAAACCTTTATTTGGTTCTTCTGTTGCTACTTGTTGGCTCGCTTGTTCCGAAATTTCACTTTCAACTATCGGAAAAAAGCTAAAAAGAAGTCCTGGAAAAGGTCGAACATAGTACAATTTGGCAGATGGCATGACAGCTTTAGCTCAGCTCTATGCTCTATACTCTCATAGAGCACGCTCTTTCAACCAATGACAGCGCACGTTATATCCAAACTTTATTATAATAATTAATAGTAGTAATAATAGTAGCAATACTATAAGCTGAAAAATTTGGACTCGAGACCGTACGACCGACCGTACAAGGTGCTACTTTTAGCATGCGCGGCCAACTGTACCACGGGCACTATCTTAGCCATTACGTAATGGAAGGGCGACGGAGAAGGTAATGCGCAGGTGTGATTGCGCGCTTAACTTGGATAAGGAAATACAAAGACGCTCCTGTAAACAGACTAAGAAGAGGTCATCAACAAAGAGAAGCGAACTACAAACGATCCGAGAAATACGAGGAGGTAAGTCGTGTCTTATCTGGGTTTTCTCTAACGCTAAGGCCTAGAAAAATTCAAACCCTTTTTATCAATCGTCGTTTGATACTAGCTTCAGTTTATAATCAAAATCACGTTTCGGTAAAACAATGACGTTGGCCCTCAATAACATTTCAGTGTTCGTATTCTTCAAGGCATTTCTTGGCTTGTCGTTGGCAATGTTTTATACAGTCGTGGTGTTGATGGAAAAGAAGTTATCTTACGGATTTCGTTTTGCCTAGAAAGCTTTCAAATGATAGCGAACGGCGAGCGCAGGTTTCTACCTGTTCCTCTCTTCGGTCAACTATCGCAGGATCTACTCTGATCATTTTAAAAAAATCGCGCTTTGTCGAAGAAGTGTTGTTTTAGCCTAAGAACGAAGTGGTAGCCTTTCCCAAAATTGAAATAAAATGAGATTGAATCAGCGATGTCCATATCTACATTAAGTCTGGCGCAGTAATTTGATTTTGACAATATTATCATGTGAGAACCAGTCAAACATCTGAGAATTGTCTCACAAAACACGGAGCCACCCTCCCTTCTCTCAACATCGCGAGGCGTACTTACTGCTCGGGTCATGATGAACATGCTTGCGATACGATACTTTTTTCCTATTGCTAGAAATTGAAGAATCAATCTCTGAAATCGAAAGCAATTCAAGCTTTTGCAAGAGGCGTCTGAGCTGTGATCGTGTAATTAAACGGGGTCTTGGCAATTTGAGCTCACAAGCACGCGTAAATAATTGTTGTTTACAGTTTTTTTAATTCGAAAACCGTTTTTGAGAGTCCGTTTCTGTAACCTTCATGGATGTTTTCGGTTGATTTCATTGAGGTACAATCTCGGAATTTCATAAGTGATTATGAACGATAAATTTGTATCGGCACCATAATTTAGGGAGGTTTTGTTAACACATTATCAGTTGACAATTCGTGAACCATTTCTGTAACCTACTTGGATATTTTCTTTTGAATTAATTGAGTCACACTCTCGGAATTTCATGAGTAATTAAGAACGATAAATCCGTATATGTAGCACAAGTGAAGCACATTTTAAACCTTCCATACGATGTTAGGAAACTATATTTAATTGACTCTCGATAAATTGACCTGCGTTGATTATGGAATAATCGATCGTTGATTATTATATTATTTTGTAGCCCCAAAAGCCCGGCTTATGACTCTGGAGGTCTTGAACTTGATATATTTGATACATAAGGCACCCTTGAAGGAGGAAGGCTAGAATAAAATAATTGCTTTCACGACCGTATACTACACCTGGTTTACATAATTACGTAAATAACTGCTCAGGAAATACCTACTAGAGCTTTCTTCAGAAGCAAACACACGTAGGTGATATGCTTCTGAATTATTTTTATTGCAAGGGATTTCTTTTTATGTAACATATATCCATTTTTTAATTGCCTCCTTAACCTGCCAGCAAATAATTAAGAGGGGTTGTCAGCATCCATCAAACAAATTTAAAATATTGTGGCAAGTCGTCCAAAATTCGTTTTCTCTCTTACTTTCATATTTTGTAGCCCAATATGTCCTAATAATTTTGGTGTAGTTTTTTTGTGAAAATATATTTTAGTTTTCGAGAAATGATATTTTTCGTTCGACCGCTCAAATATGCAAATTTTCACCCTAAATAATACCCGAGTTGTCGGGTACCTCCGGTATTTCTGACGGCATAATCCTTTGTTTTATCATCTAAACTTAATTCCCTGACATTATTGAAGCTGGCAAAGAAATATTTATTTTTTGGTGAATATTTTTGTCCGACATACTTTTTCTATGTCGAAAAGTAGCATCAAAATAGAGACAGTTTTAACAATATGACTGATATGACAGAATCTACTGAACTTCTAGCTTTTAAAAGACAAAAATTGGTTATAAAGTTACTGTAAAAATTTCCTTGTGTATTTGTGTTGTTCTATCGTGAGACGAACTCAAAGTCCGGCAAAATTTACTTGTTAGTGACTATGAAATATACATTGGTGTGCCTACCTGCCGCCACCGTTTACTGGCATAAATCACTAGAGTTTGTAAAGAAATCTAACACGAAACTCCTACCTTGTTTAAGATTTTAGCGGCTGTTTCGATGATCAAGTTATGCTCTACCACATTTTAGCCAGATTTAATTGGCATTTTTAAATCTTCTCCATTTTTTTATATCAGTTGCATGACAAGCGTGACACATATAAATTCAAAGATGAATGAACCTCCGAATTACCAAGAGATGAGTTTTTTTTCCCTTTTCATATCTATAAAAACCTTCCGAGAATTACTGTATTCAGAAAACTAAAATGTCCAGATCCATCAATGATTCCTTTGCCGGCGGAAGTCAACGAATTTTTACAAAAGTCAACTCGATTGACAAGCTACATACTGATTTACCTAATTGATCTGTTGTGTAAGCGTCTCACCTTACATGCTAACAAGGAGATTTGCTGTTCATTTAAATCGTTCCCTGGTGGGACTTTTGGGTATAGTTATCGAGAAGACCGACGTTGCATATCTCAGGTCGTTCCCTTGCGTAATTGTAAAAAAGACATTTCAAGTTACTTTCGGAGATCCAGAAACTGAAGTTGATCTTATTTTATCGCGAGCCGGCATCTTCGAGACACCAAAAGATATCGATGATTTTACAATTTGCCCCACTCTTAGATCAAATCTCGGTACCGGTGTTGGGTGGATTCGTGGTTCCAGTAGTGGATGTGGAGTGCCTAAATGGTAAAGGTAGGGCTAAGTCGATTCTTATTGGGGAGTTGGCAAGCAGTGTACCACAGATAGTACGCAAGACAACAACCTGGTTACTCACCACATTGTGCAAAATTACGCGTCCCGTCAGACTTAGGCCTCGATTGGGAATTGGTC